CTATATATATATATATATAAGAACCATTGCCATACATATATATATATGTATATATATGTATGTATGTATGTATTACATCCTCACTTTACTGCCAACTGCTAGCACCAAAGACAAATTAGCCAAAGATAAAAAGTTTTAAACTGCTTGTTGTACCAAAAAAGACAAAGTTTGTCTTGTTTTGTGGCACTGGGTATCAAACCCAAGATCTATGCACTGGGCTATCCCCAGCCTTTTAAAAATATTTTTGAGACAGTCTCTTGCTAAGGTGCTCAGTTATCCAGACTGAGCTTGAACTTCCTGCCTCAGCTTCACAAGGTGATGAGATTACAGACACAGGCAACCACACTGGGCTCCTAGCAAGTTTTTCTGATATTCAAACTCAGTTCCAAGTTGGGCGTAATGCACCTGTGGGTCCCAGCAGGGAGACCAGTGGAGCCCGTGAGATCAATCTGGACAAAAGGAAGACTCTGTCTCGAAAAAAACAAGACAAAACTCTATGCCAACTACATAACTTTCGAAAGAGCTGACTTAAGGAATATGCACACTTTTTCCCCATGTATTTGCCATCTGGAATATTTTATATTTCAAATTCAAAGTTACTTTTTCTTCCTATGTAGTCAAAGATTATCTCGATTAGATGGCCGGCCTCTTAGTTTTTCCTTATGCAAAACAGAAAGGATGGTAAGTAAGAAATAGATTTTAAAAATTAAAATGAAAATACACTTAGCTCAGTAACTCTAACTTTAAAATAATCTGAATTTCACAGCCAAATATTTTAATTACTAGCTCTATTAAATTTCTTGGCTCTCTTACTGGATAATATAATAATAAAAAAGTTATTATCTTTCCACACATTACTGCTTTTAAAACAGGAATAAATGTCATGTTGTTGACATATACTACATGGTTGGTAATGAAAACATCCAGGAAGCATGTTCCATCAAATCTCCACAACAGATATTATCCTTACCTGCTGATTTCCCATGAGCACTCTTGAGGCACAAATTCAGCGGAGAAACAGCAAGAGTAACATCCTGATTCGATGAAAAAAGAACCATTGCCTCAGCCAGCAATCTAGAAAATGTAAGGCATAACTTTCTTAAGAAGGATTCAAATCTTTAATCTGGAGATGAACAGGCTAGTTGGCCTGGGTTTTAAAAAATTTACCTTCTTAGATATAAACCACTATGTTTCTAGTACATCTTTTTTTTTTTTTTTTTTTTTTTTTTTTTTGTACTGGGGATCAAACTTGGGACCTTGTGTTTGTGAGGCAGGCGGCGGCACCACTGAGCTAAATCCACGGCCCTCTAGTGTATCTTTAAACTGTAATTTCATTTGAAGGCCAAGAGAATAGCAAAATACAACCTCAGTAAAACATGTGAAAACTGCAGTCTGAACAACACATCAGAATCAAATATGTATCTTTAATTCCATGTTTTTGTTTTTGTTTTGGTACCGGGTATTGAACTTGGGTCCTTGCACTTGTGAGGCAGGTGGCAGAATCACTGAGCTAAATCCCAGCCCTAATTCTATGTTTTTAAATGTCCCATATATTTTTTTAAAATTGGCCCAAGATAATACTGTAAAGGAAGACAGTAGAAAATGGAATTGTTTAAATATGGCTGAGATGAACTATGCTGTAGACCCATTTGAGGGGCAGAGATTTGCAAAGAGTCTGCTGCCTATTATTTCTTTTCCTTTTGTTACTTTCCTAGATTATGTACTATCTATTGCTTTTAAGGTTCTCTTGATGCCCAAATGCCATTTATTCCTGGCTTCCTCTTCCCCCTGACCTTTCACTTTTTGAGATAGGCTCTATGTAGTCGAGGCTGTCCTTGAACTCACTGTGTAACACAGCCTGGTCTTGAACTCATGTGGAACCTCTTGCCTCGGCCTCCCTTCCCTCAGTGCTGGTATCACACATTGCTGGGCTTCCTTTAAAAACAGCTGTCTGTGGGCCGGGGTTTTAGCTCAGTGGTTCCACTACCTATCTTACAAGCACAAGGTCCTGAGTTCGATCCCCGGTACCAAAAACAAAAAACAAAACAAATAAAAACAGCTTTATGTGAGGTGTAACTCACACACCACACAATTCATAGACGTAAAGTTGTTTGATTTGCATGTCCCTCATGACAGTGATGCTGAGCAACTTTCCATGTGCTTATTGTCCATTTGTATATCTTCTTTGGGTAAATGTCTATTAAAATTCTTTCCCCATTGTTTTTTGTTTTTTGAGACAGGGTCTCACTATGTAGTTGAAGCTGATCTGGAACTCACTATGTAGCCCAGGCTGGTCTCGAACTCACAGCGATCCTCCTCCCTCAGCCTCCCAAGTGCTGGGATTACAGGTGGGCGCCCCCATGCCCAGCCTCCTTTCCCCATTTTCAGTTGTTTGTCTTTTTAAAAAGTTGCATTATAAGCACTGCCATTGTTTTGAAATTGAGGTGTTGCTAGATAAAAATGAAATTGTAGAATTAATTGTACTCTTGGTGTTAACATGATGCTAGACATTATCTTAACAGTGTTTATTGATGTCAAAATGTCATGAACACCTAGCAAATTCAGAAGGGAACTTTTCTATTGTTAAGGAGAAAGTGTTACACAAGATACCAAATAATTTCTTTTTTTTCCCATGGTGCTGGAGATTGAACCCAGGGTCTCTCACATGCTAGGCAAATGTTCTATCATAAAATTATATCCCCAACCTCTAGGGTGCCAAATAATTTGATACAAAAAAAGATGACAACATGAATGTGTAGTTCAAAAAATTAGAAAAATGGAAACTTAATATACTCTCAAACTTACTAGTAATAAAGAAAATATAACAGTAAAGAATATTGCATAATACTATTTTTTACCTATTACATTGGCAGAATGTTTAAAGATTAATTATATCCTCTACTTAGAAGAATTCTCCTATACTTTCGGTGGAGTATAAACTTACATAAATTTAAATGGCAATTTAGTAGTTGGTATCTTTTTAAAATTTGCATAAGACTTTGACCCAGTAATTTTATTCTAGGACTCTGGGTTATATAGTCTATAACATGGCCCTCAGTGATTCTCATCTCCTGTTATTCTCCTTAAGTGTGGGCTGGACTTAGAGATTCATATCTAAAAAAGAGAAAAGTAGCAGAAGTGATGAGACATCAGTTCTGAGATTAGAGAATCAAAAGTCCATGGCTTTTCCAGTATGGTGGTGCACACTGGTAATCCCAGCTATTCAGGAGGCTGAGGAAGGAGGACTGCAAGTTCAAGGGAAGCCCAGGCAACTTAATTCAATCTCAAAATAAAATAAAAAAGGCTGGGGATGTAGCTCAACACTGTATTGCTTACTGAACAGCCGTGGGGGGTGGAGAAAGGAGAGAAGAGGGGAAAGAAAGGGAAAGAAAAGAGAAAAAATGTGGCTTCCATCAGCTACCCTTTGTGAGGACTTGCAGACAGCCAAGAAGCAGGCACACATGGTAGGGACCTAAGTCCTACTAAAAACCACATGTGTGAGCTTAGAAATGATCTTGGGCTCCCAACAGCCATATCAGTGAGCTAGGAAGTGAACCCTTAAGTTGAGCCTTCTGGTGAGACTGCAGTCCTAGCTGAACCCATGACTTCACCTCATGAGAACCTGAGCTAGAAACACCCAGCTAAGCCACACCTGTACTACAGAGTAATAAATGATGTTTGAAGGCTCTTATGTTTTTTTTTCAGCTTTAACTGAGTTCATTGGAACATTTTAGGGATATAGTACAGTTACATTCATTGTTGGGATCTTGTACCTCTACATGACAAGTCTTGATTCTCATTTTTTCCCCTTACCCCTGTCCTTATGTTTTAAAGCAGTTTGCTCTGCAACAGTGAATACCCTTCCTATGTACTACTAGCAGCACTGTTCATGACAGCTAAAAGTTGGGGATGTGGCTTGCCTACCATGTGGGATGCCTTGAATTCAATCCCCAACACACACACACACACACACACACACACACACACACACACACACGCACACTGCCAGAGCACTCTGGCACACTGAAGAAGGAGGATCACAAGTTTGAGCCCAGCCTGGGCAACTTAGCAACTTAGTAAGACCTTATCTCAAAAGAAAAAATAAAAATGGGCTGGGGAGGCAGCTCAGTGTGAAGGCTTGGGTTCAATCCCCAGTACTGAAAAAGAAAACAGGCAAGTTGCGAAACACTATGGCAAGTAGGACATTTTCTTTTTTTAAAAGTCTGTATAAGTGTGTTTCTAATAAATATAATAATGAGAGAAATAAAGAGATTCACAGTCAAAGGGAGAATCAAAAAAACAGAGGTTACCTGCCAAGCACGATATAAGGGTGGTAGAAGAGAAGGACTTCCATTCTTTACCTTTTCACTCTTCTATGTATATACTGGATGTATTGCAAGGACTAGGTATTGCTCTTTAAATGTTTTAATTCTATGTTTTATTTTAGCTTATGAGTACATGTGTGTACTGCATAACATTTACATTCTTTGTGTGGAGTCGGCACATGTAGAGAACACATCTTCATTCCTTTTCATCCTGTCCCTTCCCTCCCTCCCACTTCATCTCTTGATTCCCTTCCCATGTGACAATGATCTAGCTACCTACTTCTTGTTGTTTTTTATTTTGCTCTTTATTTTTACTCTGGGTTTCACATATTAGAGAAACCATGTGATATTTAAGCTTGTGTGTCCTATTTCACTTAAGATTTGGTCTCAAGGTGCATCCATTTTCCTACAAATGACTCAGGTTTCTTATTCTTTGTGGCAGAGTAATAGTCCATGGTGTGTAAAGACCACATTTCCCTTATCCATTTATCTGTTGATGGACATATGGGCTGGTTCCAAGATTTAGCTGTTAAGAATTTGTACTGCTACAAATATGGTGTTAAAGTTTGTGTTTAGATGTCCCCCCCAAAGCCTCATACTGATGAGGTGGAACTTTCTTTTTCAGAGGTAGTTTAATCTGGAATGTGTGATGCTGGGGTTAAGGGCATGTGATTACTAAACCACTACATGTGAGCAATTAGTTTGGCACTGCCCTAATCCTAGTAGTCTCAGTAAGATAAAAGGGGCAGAAAGATGCTGGTAACTCTGTTACTTCCTTTGTTGGCCTCTGCCCACCATGTTGTTTCTCCTCTGAAATGCCTGTTTGTCATCCCTGCCTTGGAGCCAGCTGATTATGGACTGAAAGATCTATAAACTGTAAGCCCAATACACTCCTTCCCTCAGGAATGAGAGAAAAGTAACTAACATACATAGTCATGTATACATCACTGTAATATGATGTCTTTAGCTCTTTTGGGAAGATACCTAGAAGGGGAATAGCTAGATCAAATGGAATTTCTAGTTTTAGTTTTTTAAGGAACCTCCATACTGGTTTCCATAGGGGCTGTACTACTTTACATTGCTAATAACAGTGTAGAAGAGTCCTCTTCTCCCTGCAGCCTCTTCAGAGTTTGTTTTCATTTGATTTCTTGATGATGTCCATTCTTTCAGGAGTAAGATGGAATCTGTGGTGTTCTAGTTTGCACTTTTCTAATGGCCAGCAATGTTGAGCCTTTCTTCGTGTATTTATTGTACTTCTGTGAAGTGTCTATTCATTTTGCTTGCTCATTTTTTGATTGAGTCTTCTATTTAGGAGTCTAAATTTTTTTCAGTTCTTTATACATTCTAGATATAAGTCCTCTGTCTGAGGAATAGCTGGCAATATTTTTTTTCAGTTCTGTATGCTTGCTGCCTTTTCACTGTTAGTTGTTGTTTTTCTTTCTTTTTTATTGTGCAGAAGCTTTCTAATTTAATATGGTCCAATTTGTTGATTCGCAAAACTATTTCCTGTATAACTGTGATTCCAATTTTTTCATTTAAAAAACAGCACAAAAATATAATTTGACTCAGAAAGTAATGCTAATTAATAGGGCTACAGTGAACTAAAAAACTGGGCACACTTTCACTGACAAATATACCTCACTCATTATCTAAAGAAAAAAATTAATTAATTAGGGTTATTTCAGCTTGCATAAAAAATGTTAAAATTAGCTAAGCACGGTATAGCACACCTGAAATTTCAGCTACTCAGGAGGCTGAGGCAGGAGGATCACAAATTCAAGGCCAGCCTGGCAATTTTGTGAGCTGTTAAAACTTCCTCTGGCTGTGTGTTCTAAGATTCAGATAAGTACCATATAAATTCAAAGGATTATAAGATCATATATTCTTTTATTTTTGATACAGTTTAATGTAGAAAGTCATTGATGGAATATTTTTAGAATTTTCTTGACCACCCAACTATTACTGCTGCCATTAGGCAGATGCTATCTACTATTATCTTTCTCAAGGTTTCTTCTTGACCTTGTAGGGTAATTTCTCTAAGTTGAGTTTTAGATTTAAATAGGAAAAAAAAACTGTAACTGAAAAGCTTTTCGGCACTAAGTTTTCACCCTGAGACCCTCCCATATTCAGCAAATGAAAAATAAATAATACAGTACTCCTTACCTTGGTTGAATCATTAGAGTATTACAACACATTTTCTTTTCAAAGTTAACTTCCAAAGGCAAACTTTCTTGGAAACACACATTATGAGTTTTTTTAATACCTTAAAAAGAAGAAAGACATTAAAATAAAGGCATTAAGTGCAAAATGAACAGATTTTAAAAGTGTTTAAATTTCACAGCCAAATTAAAATAATAAACTTACAGTAACATTTACTATCTGGAAGGGTTATCTAGTCTGGAGCAGCACTATTCCTTAGGGAAATGTGTTATCGCTCCCTAGTGGACACCAAGCAACATGTCTCTCCATGACCAGCAGGCAATGGAGTATCCAAATTCCTTGGAAAGATAAGTGGCTTCTGAAATCCTTTGTTAAGACACTGACTCTCCACTCCTCAGCGCCTCTCTAGGATTCTCTTTTAGCACCTCTTACTCAGGACTTCTGGCAGTTAGGCCTCCCCGTCTGTCCTATTAATGCTTTTCCCTTCAGAGGAGGGGGAGGTAGTGACACAGGCTGAGTGTCCTTTACCCTAAGTGCTTGGGACCAGAAGTGTTTCAGAACTGGGAAACGTTCAGATCTTACAATATTTTCATAGACCTTACAGGTTAAGTATTTCTAATCTGAAAATTAGATTTTAGATCTTAGATCTTTTCAGATTTCAGATTTTCAGATTAGGGGTATTGAGCCCATAATGAGTAAGGCCTAAATGCCAGGACCTGCAGGATATACTCTGCACACGCTTTCTCTGATCTTAACAATATTCCTGTGTGGGCCAGGGATTTAGCTCAGTGGTTCGGTAGCCTGCTTTGCAAGCGCAAGGACCTGAGTTCAATCCCTGGTACCAAAACAAAACAATATTCCTGTGAGGTAGGGACTTAATCTTAGAAGAGGAAACCATAGCTCAGTGAGGTTAAATGACATTCAAAACTATATTGTTTTTATAAGCACAACTAGGATCTGTTTTTAAAAATAAGCAGCAGCTGCCAGACGTGGTGGTGCATGCCTGTACTCCCAGCCTGAGCTACATAGTGAGTTTCAGGTCAGTCTCAACTACATAGTGTGACCCTGTCTCAAAAAAAAAAAAAAAGCAGCAGCTGCAGCCTGGTTAAAGCATGCCTATGGCCTAACTTCAAACTTTATGTTTACATGAGCCAATAGTCTTCTTTATTATTTTTGTTTGTTTGTTTGTTTTTTGAGACAGGGTCTCACTATGTAGTTGAAACTGACCTGGTACTCACTATGTAGCCCAGGCTGGTCTCGAACTCTCAGTGATCCTCCTGCTTCAGCCTCCCAAGTACTGAGATTACAGGTGTGCGCCACCACGCCCAGCTCTCTTCTTTATTATTGAAGCCAGTTTGAATTTTTTTCTAGTTTTAAAGTTTTTTTTCATCTACTACTTTTAACCTAAAGCATCCAAATTCATATTGCCATCCTACAAAAACTACTACAAATTAACCAATCATAAATATTTACTTAACATTAACCAATGCCAGTGAAGAGGTATTTCAGAAACTGAACACTTGGTTACTAAAACCCCAGCTGGAGATAAGGAAAGAACGAAACTATAGCACCAACAGTTATAGTGAGTACACGTCTGTTTCAGGCACATCTACATGATTTGAAGGCTTTCTGGGCTTATCATCGTGATCTTTGGAGGATTCTCCTATTATATGAACTAATGTTCAAGGAATGAGAAAAATAATCCTAAATCATTGATTATTTGTAAGAAAAAATAAGGATTATAATATAACAGAAATGAAAATATATATATTATTAAGATAAATGTAAGATAAAATTAAGAAATACAAGATAAATTATAATAAGTTAACCTTCCATAAGACCATTTAACTACAAGAAAGATTTGGATAGATATCACAAGTATTGAAAATTGAATCTAGGATTTTTGCATCGAGCTATATCCACAGTCTTTATTTGTTGACACAGAGTCTTAGTAAATTCTCTTAAGCTGGGTTCAAACTCGTGATTCTCCTGCCTCAGCCTCCCAGAGTGCTGGAATTACAGATGTGTGTCATCTCACCTGGCTAAATATGATATTTTTGAAAGCATAAAATTCTACCTGTTAATGTCAACGAAAATAGCCACAATCATAGTACAGACAACTAGGCCTATACTTACAGAATGTGCAGGCAATCTTCTAAATACAAGAATAACTCACTGAACCCTTAGAAAAACCCTAGGAGACTGATACACTATGCTTGTTTTCCATACCAGGAAAGGGTGGCATAGATAGAATGTGCTCAACATCTCACTAGGGAGGGATAGAACTGATTTCACCCTAAACTTGGTGGCCTCAAAGCCTGTTCTCTGAATCATGCTAGGACCTTTAAAAATGTGAAAATCCTGCAAGCACGACACTTTAGCATCTAGTTTGCAAGGCTAGGAGTCAGTAAATCTGTCTGACAGTTAGGGGTAGCAGAGAGAATGAATGCAATCTTTGGCACCTTCTCTTGTGGGCCTGGATTCAAATTCAGGCTGTGTCTTGCCAGTTCCGTGACTGGGGGCTGTCACCATGCTTCTCTCAATCCCAGATTTGATAAGATCTGCCTTCTAGATGACTTTCAATACCAGCATGCATTTTAACTTTCTGTTCTTACCTATGGACATTTGTAGTGAAGCCAACACACACAAAGCACTCTTACAAAATATCAAGCAACCAGTTCACTTTAGAATAGCTGATTTAAATTCAAATGGACATTTTAAAAATTGGCTTGTAGCAGGCAAAGCATGGGCTATGGACAAGTCATTGATACGAATTACTTAAAAACCCTCTGCAGAGACAGGTAAGATACTACAACTGCTTTACCAAATAACTACATAAAACCTAAACAATAATGCTACACAAAATATTGATAGGGAGTTTGAATATTCTAAACATGAGAAATATTAAGAAAAAACCCCAATATTTTAAGCCACTCGAATTATACCTACCATGTCTGCAGAAGAACTGAATAACAATTTTGCACTTGTCAGATCTGGTGAATATTTTGCACTTCTCTACATTTCTTTCGAAGGAATTTACACATCTAAAGATGGGTAGAATTGACTGCAACACAATTATATTATACATATTAAGAACGTACTTGATTTTTTTAGTCTTTTTTTTTTTCCCCAGTACTAGGAATCGAACTCAGGATCTTGCACTTGCCAGGCAGGATCGGCACCACTGAGCTAAATTCCCAGCCCGAAAACATACTTTATATAGGGCTGGGGTTTTAGCTCAGCAGTTCAGTGGCCTGCCTTGCAAGTGCAAGGAACCGAGTTCAATCCCCGGCACGAAAACAAAAGAAAACAACAACAACAACAACAAAAAATACTTGATATAGTTGTTTGTTTCATTAAAAAAAACAGAAGTACATGTATTCATCAGTAAATATGTTTGTCCTGCATGCCATTTAAACTGCTAACTACAGAATATGTTATAACTTACATAACAAATATTTCTCCTATAATACAGAGAACCAAGGCCATTTTTATTTACCTTCATTTCCAATTTGCAATTCAAATATCGGCCATCGTCGTTCATTTCCTTTGAGGCTGACCACTGATAATGTTCAAAAAACACTGAAGAGAACAGGACATATCCACAAGCCGACGAAGAAGAATTTAAAGATCTTAAAGCAAGCTTGAAAAATAAAATAGCTGTTTAGGTCAAAGCCAGCTTTCTTTAAGTGATAGTTTAATCTTTTTAAATTACAATATGTTTAAAGTCATAGCTAAATATGTTGAAATAAGATCATGGACTACACTATACAATGAATATTAAATGTGTACATATCTATAAATGCATATGGGTATATATCTACATTGCATACATATATCTTTAAAATCTTGCATTTGGCCAGGCATGGTGGTATACACCTGTGATCCCAACACTCGGGAGGCTGAGGCAGGAGGATTGCAGTTAGTTTGAGACCAGCCTGGACTACATAGTGAGTTTCAGGTCAGTCTCAACTATATGGTGAGACCCTGTCTCAAAAAGAAAAAAAAAAATCTTGCATTTTAAAAATGTAAGTGCCTATAAGGGTCTTAATTTTAATGCATGAAGCAGCACAAGGTAATATAAAAGGAAACTGCAGCAAGTTGGTTGTCTCACATGATTGTAGTGGAGAAAAAATATTACTAAGACTGAACCAACTAAATTCTACTTGGGAATACAAGCCCAAAATTTTCAAGTCTTTTGAATTTTAAGAAAAACAGGAAATTCGTATTTTTATGTGGTCTCTCTCAATTATTAAATGTTAGAAATTATTTCAATTTTGGATGGAGAAAGTGTTGGGGAATTGAACCAGGGCCTTGTGATTGCTAAGCACACACTCCACCACTGAGCTACACCTCCAGTCCTTAAAAAAAAAAAAAAAAAAAAAGACCCCACAAAACATTTCTCTTGACCACCACTTTGTGACTTCTGGCTTAAGTCAATTATGTTTATCTGCATGATGTTCAAGTTCACTGTGCTATAGGTACATTCAGATACGTAAAATAAAGATGAACAGTGAAAGGGATAAGTGTAATTTCTAAATTTCCTGGTTAATATTCAATCTGGACTGAGATCTTTAAACACTTTCTCTTGTCTGAATACAAAACCTATTACTTAACATTCTTACTTACACCTTTTTCCAATGGATCTAGCCACAGCTCGTCACTCACTCGTGATAGAGCTTGGATTGCTTTCCCAAATACTGCAGAGAAAAAGAAAGATGCTGTTTACATTCTTCCTAGCACTAACAACATATCATAGGAGTACTTCAACAAGCAGAGGACTCAATATAAATTCAAAAAGAACAGTGGGATCTATTGAACAATTTGTTCCAGCAGGTCATATTCTTCAGTTGAACAGTTTATCCCTGCCCTGTAGGTCAAATTCCTGGATAAGGAACTAGGGGCTTCTGGTATTGTAGATACCAATTATCAACCTGCTACTGATATTTGGAAATGACTGGCAAACATTCTACCTGAACTTTTTGGCCTACCTTGCAACATGTAATTCAGCCTGTTTCTACCATCCCCTCTGATGTATGTGCTGTGTATACTGTAGTTAACCTCTCTTTTGGCTTCAATATGTTCATGTCAACATAATGATCTCCAGCCGGGCATGGTGGTGCCCACCTGCAATCCCAGCACTCGCGAGGCTGAGGTAGGAGGATCGCTGTGAGTTCAAGACCAGCCTGGGCTACATAGTGAGTTCCAGGTCAGTCTCAACTACACAGTGAGACCCTGTCTCAACAAACAAACAAAAAAACCATAATGATCTCAATTTCTGTTTTATGTCAAGATTACAACAAATGTAAATCAAAGTGAAGGCATGAGAGGAAACCCATCCTAATATGTTGAACTTATATTTGGTCAAATTTATTCAGTGCAACAGATCTGGAAATAATGCTCTCAAATCCCTTTTCCTGCATATATCAGTATTTCCTGTCAACTGATATGCTATTTGGCTTTTAGTTTTAGTACAAATATCTAGGGAGAAATTCTATTGATTACATATAAGAGACAAACTGTTAAATTGATCCATACAGCATTTTACAGACTAATGCTATATTGCTTTAAGAAATATATGGCCAGGTGTGGCGGCACATGTCTGTAATCCCAGCACTCGGGAAGCAGAGGCAGGAGGATCATCATGAATTCAAAGCTAGCCTAGGCTATGCAATGAGTTCAGGGACAACCTGAACTACAAAGTGAGACCCTGTCTCGAAAAACCAACCAACCAACCAACCAACAAAAGAAATACAATATAGGGCCAGGGATGTGGCTCAGCAGTAGAGCACCTGACTCTCATGTGCAAGGCCCTGGTTAAAAAAAAAAAAATAGCATAATATCCTTGGGAAAATATCAGATGCACAGCAAGAGCTTAGTAAGTTTGGAGAATCACTGTATGTGATAAAATTCAACAACTCTTTCTTTTTGCAGTTGTCTGGAACTATTGTCTAAGGCCAATTTCCATAATTATGTATCATGAAACTTGGTTCAAATAAATATAATTAACAAAAAAGTGTGGGAAATGCATGGAAAAGATGATTTTAAATGTTTTAGTAACAGATGAAAATGTCAAAACAAGTTATGATAGAGAAACTAAGTATTCAAAACGCATCATTGATGTTTGAGAGTATCTTAGAAGATGCCAGATGTTAGCAAGGAAGCTGCCAGACTTCCCTATCAAACACATTTAGGTGCCCTGTCAGTCAGAGAGACTAGGGCTACATGAAATATTGGTCTGACCTAGTATGATACCATTAATATTATGAATTATGAATAAGTAAAACCATGACAAATAGATACTGGGTAATATGCTGGATAGCCTTATCAATCCACCAAAAGGTATAAAAATTGAAAAGTACAGAACATAAAATTAGATTACAATACTTAAGAATCACAAGTGTGTATTCTGAGGAAGATAAGATGACCTAAATTAGTTTTTTGCTTTTTGGTGGGGGGTTTCTGTATGGGGCATGGAACTCAGGACCTTGTGCTTGGAAGGCAAGTGGTAGCACCACTAAGCTAAATCCCCAGCCCTAAATGAATATTTTTAAAAGTTAGAGGCATTTGTCCTTTTCCCCAGTTTATATTCAGTTTTTTTCTGGACTAATGAAGACTTTTCATTCACCCAATGAATATTTACTAAGCACCGGCTATGTTCAAGTATAACCCAATGCAATAGGATCACAACAAAGAACAAGAGAGGTTCACTTCCTGCCCTCCTAGCACTTAGTCTGGGAGGGAAACAAAACTAAACACACAAAAAATTGCTTATTGCAAATAAGGTACATACTGGAAAAGAACTTCCTAGTACTGTGAGAATATGCAACTATGGAAAGCTTATGTCTCGGTTTTCTACTCATTATTAGTGTATCAATTTGTCCTCAACACAAGGGAAGCTGGCCGTGGTGGCACACACCTGTAATCCCAGCACTCGGGAGGCTGAGGCAGGAGGATCGCTGTGAGTGTGAGACCAGCCTGGGCTACATAGTGATTCCAGGTCAGTCTCAACTACAGTGAAACCCTGTCTCAAAAAAAACAAACAACAAAAAACAAACCTACACAGGGGAAGCTAACCACAAGATACAATTCAGTGATCATTTTCAGACTTTACTATAATCTGTAGGAAGCTTTTGCTTTTCTAAATACTTTCCAGATTAACTTCCACTTGTAGAGGATTATTTATAATGAAAATAGTGTCATACACCGTTATTACTCAGCTCTTTACAGTCATTCCCATTTGATGCCTACAAACCTTATTATTACTAATCCCATTTTACAGATGAGGAAACTGACCTCCACAGTGATTTAGTGGCTAGTCTTAAAATCATATATTTTAAAACGGTAGAATTTGGAATAAAGATAAAGTTTATGTTTTTTGCTATACTTTTACTGACCATACGTTTTTTTCTCTCAACTGTTCCCCACAAGTCCTGACAATCCCATATTTGAGGACTGATGGTACAGCTCATTTCATAGACACCACCCATATTAAATACTATGCTTAAATAAAAGGAGATAGGAGGCTAAGCACGAAAATTGCCAAGTCGAGCCCAGCTTGGGCAACGTAGTAACTTATTGAGGCTTTGTCCCAAAATAAAAAATAGCATGGGGATGTAGTTCAGTACAAAAGCCCTACGCGAGGAGGCAGAGAGTTAGCTCTGTGGTTCCGCCGCCGCCACCGCCGCCAAAAAAAAAAAAAAAAAAAAAAAA